GCCCGGCCCGCGCCGCGTGACGCCGGGCGCGCGAAGGGTTAAGGGCGCGCGCACCCTCCCCTCGGCTCCCTCACCCTCGGAAAGTCCCTGAAATGACGTCTCAACCCGACAATTAAAAAAAAAGGGTTTAATTATAGAGCCAGGCTCGGGGAGCTGGAACTAACCCGGGCGGTCGGCGGGGCGACCAACTTGGGTTGGTAAACAACTTGGAGGGAGGCGGCCGGGGCCTGGGGAGCGGGGGAAGCGGGGCGCGGGAGTTGGACTGGAGGAGGAAATTCGAGGAATCGCCTTTCTTTCTGGAAAAACCACTTTTTAGCCAGCCTGGGGCGCCGACGCCCGGGATGGTGCTCCCGGCCCGCGAGGACAGCCGGTGGCCCCTGGGGACCGGCTGGGGTCCCCATCCTGGTCCCCCCCACTGAGCTCGGCGAGCCCTCGAGTTAAAGACCAGCCAGCCCTTCTTAGGGGCTGGGGGGGAGGGGGAGACCGAAATAGCTTCACATCGGAGCTCAGACTGACCTTGTGGTTTTAACGCGCACCTTACTCTGTCCTGAAATCTGGAACTCATTACCTCATCGCCAAGAAACTGCACGAAGCCCCCCGCCCAACACCCACTTCTTGAAGCTGGGGGGAAAACGAGCAAACATCGCTTTAAGAAAGCAACCTATAGTCTTGAATAATCTAAATTGAAGTGGATGGAAGTTATTTCCCTTTCTGGCGCTTGCCAGATTTCAAGAAAAGATGTAAAATGGGAGCAGGGGGTGGGAAGAAGCAACAGGCGGCTGGAGGCAGCGGCGGGTTAAAATGGGGGCGATCAATGCGTTAGAGGAGACAAATAAAAGCAAACCCCGCTGGGGGAGATCACGTAGGTTCGTGGCTACAGAAAAGTGTGTTTCGCCAAGTTAAAAAAAAAAAGGCAACTGGTTCCTTAAACAGTTGTGATTTGGGAGGTTTTTCTGGGTTTGCCCGGAGGTTGACGAATAAATAAGAAATGTAGTAAAAAGTGGTGTGTGTGTGTGGGGGGGTGCGACTTGAGCTCTCCGCTCCGCCTGCCTCGTCCTTTCCAAAGAAACGTGCTCATAATGGGGTGACCTAATTACATCGCAATGGAACTCGCTCCCAGCGCTCGGCACTCCGGTTTCATAACACCCGGCGGTCTGGAGTGCTGGGAAGCAGCGCGCGAGCCCGGCCCGCGACTTCCGCCCGCGTCTACACCGCAGCGCCCCGGCGGGCCGAGGCGCGGGGAGCGGCCCGGGGACGCGTTCGCAACTTTGGGCGGATGGGGAGGGGGGAGCCCAACCTAACAGGAAATACGCCCGGATTTGATCGTCTTTGAGGGACTCGTCATTCACCGCGGGGCCCCTCAGTTTTGGGGACCCTATGCCACCATGGGGTCCCGCCCCAAAACAGGGCACAGCGACAAACCAGACGTTCCGTTCTCGCGGGGGCGAGCGACCAGCAACAATAAGTTAAAAGTGTCGCCTCCCCCACTTATTTACCTGCGTTCTCACCGAACTTTTGTCCGCGGCTCTCGCGTCTGTGTGTGCGCGTGCGTGGGGTGGGGGGCTGCGCAGAATTCAAAGCGCGCGTGGAAAGTGGATCGTTGCTCAGGGGCGTGGTTTCTTGCCCTTGCGGGGCAGAGGAAGGGACTTCTATGAAAGATTCAGGGTTTTCTGTAATAAAAAGTTTATAAAGATTGGGTGCGTCAAAGAAGCCCCGCGCCTAGTCCCGGGCCGGGGTCTTAGCTTTTTTTTCCCTTAACGCAGCCCTAGATCGCGGGCGGGCAAGCGCGAGTGTACACGCGTGCTGCGCTCAGTCGCGCTGCGCCCGCCCCAGCCAGGCCAGGTCCTGCGGGGTGTAAAAAAAGTTTCTCTCTTCCCTCCCCTTCCCTCGGCCGGCTGAAAGAAAACATAAAACTCTAGACTTGAACGTTTGGGGCGCTCCTGGCCCGGCCGGGTTTGCAGAGGGGAGCCGGGCGTGGACCGAGAAGTCAGGGAAAGGTGAATTGTGCGGGGACTTGGAAAAGTTTCAAGGGAGAGCGGCACAAGATGGAAACCGCAGCCCGGGCACAACAGGACAGGCTCCAGCTCCTGCTTGCAAAAAGAGAAAGTCGAGCCCGCCTTCCTGCCCGACAAAAAAACAACAACACAACAACAAGCACCCCGGAGGGGGTGGAATGAGTGATGTCACTGGGCCGCGCGGCGAGGCTGACAAAGGGGGCCCCTCCCCCTCTGCGCCGCGCGGCTCGGGGAGGGGCGCCCGCAGCGCGGGGGACTCGAAACTTTTCCTCTTTAAGAAAAAAAAAAGTTGCGCGCGGCCCGGAGTGGTTTTTTTTTTTTTTTTTTCCGCCTTCTTTCCTCGTCTCCCCTCCCCCCTCTTCCTTTTGAAAGTTTCTTTCCTCCCCCCCCCCTTTGACCGCATGGCTGATTCAACCTCAGTGTCAATCAACTTTTTTTCTCCGGTTCCTTATTTAAATAAAGTTTAAAGCTCCTCCTTTCTCCAGCCCACCAGAAAAAAAAATCTGAAACTATAAATTGGGCTTTGCGCGCCGCAGCCCGGGAGAGTCAGAAAGGAGAGGGGCGTGAGGAGCAGGCGTGTGGGACTCCAGACCGGAGAGCCGGAGGCTGCGCCTTCCCCGCACCGGGACCTTCGCGACGCACCGCATCCTCGCCCCTGCCCCGCGCGAGCGCCCACGATGACCACCACCCTCGTGTCTGCCACCATCTTCGACTTGAGCGAAGTTTTATGCAAGGTAAAGTGGGGCGGAGCGTTTGCTTTTTAAAAACTCCTCTCCTTTTCCTTAAAAAAAGCGAAACAACAGCAACAAAAAAACTACCCGAAAGTTTGGGTCTTGGGAAGCAGAGGATGAGAGGAGAGTGGAGGGAGATGGTGCTTTTCTCCCGCATTTTCCACGCAGTTTGAAGGAATTTGGCCCTGTCCTCCACGCCCTTGGAGTTTCTCAACAGTTTCTGGCGGGTTTACATGTGAATCTGGGGAGCAGAGTTTTGGGGGACGAGGTCTGCCAGGCGGGGCTACCTGGTGGACTGGGTCAGGAGTGTGGGGTAAGTTTGGGGCGACTTTTTCGTCCTTTATACGCTGTTTGCGCCGGGCCTCGCTGCTCTGCTCTTCCGTGTGCGCCCTGGGTGTGTGCGCCTGGGTTCGAGTCTGCCCAGCACCATTACTGGCCTGTGGGCTTGGGGTTCGGCGGGAGTCTCGAGGGACCATGTCGTGCTGGCAGATTTTCCCCTGTGCTTTTGGGGAGCCAGGGATTTGCGAGGAAGAAAAAGGTCGAGGGTTGTGATTGAAAAAGATGTCGCAGAGCGAGTTTGCAGTGCGCCTGGTGACCGCCGCGTCTCTGCGGGCTTCCTCCGCTGTAGCCCGCCGCGCCGCGAACTTGGGTGGAAGTGGGCTGACCAGCTTACCTGTGTTGGGGGGCGCGGTGGCACCTCGTTTGGGGGTCGGGGGACAAAATGTTGTTTGAACTTAAGAATCCCCGCCTATAAGGATTTCATGGAGGCCTCCCGAAGCCGGATAGCTTGCCAGCCGGTGTTGAATAAAACTTTTTAAACCCGGAGTGGTCTAGGAGTGCGTTTGAAGTATACATAACAAAAGCCTATGGATGTTGTTAAATGCTTTCCCAGTCCTCTCCCCCCAGTTTGAAAGGGCGAAGCTGCTAGGCTACTTTTAATTGCTGAAGTGTTTAGCCTTCTCTTAAACACGTCGGGTCATGTTGCTGTCTTTCCCCAGCTAGCTGCCCCTGTCGGCACAGCTTGCCAAGGCCCCAGGGCTGCAGGGTTGGGGTGCAGAGACGCGGAGGAGCTGAAGAGCAACATCAAAAAATTGCAGTTCTCGGCCTCCTTCCCTCCCTCGCGCCTTCCTGAGCTCCGCTCGGCCGTGCTGCGGCACAGCTCCCGGGCCAGCCTTGCTTCTCTTGCCCGCTCTCCCGCTCTTTGATCTATTTCTCTCCCTCCCCTCCCTCCCCCGCAGGACTTTTTAAAATGAACCTCATTTTTGAGAACCGGCTCTCCACTGGGTTCCTGTAATCCGCTCGGTGGGGTGGTTGTGGTTGTGGTTACAGATTCCCGATCTCCTGCTGCTGATCCTAAGGGGCCAACTTTAGAATTTGCACAATGACACCCACTTGGTTGGGCCAAGAGCCAACTCCCAGGGGCCTTACTCGCGCCCTTTCCAAATCTTAGGTACAATTTGGGCAGGTGACTGGGATCCCTTTGGAACAGAACCCTGCCTGTGACGAATCTGCACCCCCCCATTCTGCTGTTGACTGCTCTGTGTGTGTGTGTGTGTGTGTGTGTGTGTGTGGTGGGATTGGTGCTTCCCTCTCCTTCCCATCTGCAGCTTTGCGTTCAAGATTAAACACTGGAGCTCTTATCCAAGTCTCACTTGCAGCCAGGAGACGAGTCCAAAAGCATTTTCCCAGTGAAGGGGGTGGGGAACGAGAGAGGCTGCCCGGGGCACCCCTTGCAAGAGCATAGAGCTCAGAGTGTTTTTAGGGATCACAACCCAGTCTCCCAGGCTCCAGACCAGATCCCCCCACCACCACCACCAAGAAAAAACACAGGCAGCCTGAAAACCTGTTGCAAGGAAGGGAACACTTCTGAGGGAGGAAGTTAGTCTTGGGCCAAGTTGTGGGGGAGGGGGCTACCAACTGAGCCAACGCTTTGCCTTCTCTCTGGGCTTTACCCATTTTTGCTAGGAGAAGAAAAATCTAGAGAAGTCTGCCATGTGTGAGCTGTTCTGAGTTGAATTTATGTGGGAGGTAAAGAAGTTATATTGTGTACATTTTAAAAAATTGTAGCTTTGGGGAGAGAGAGAGGCTATGAAGGCGCACTT